TGCCTGTACACCTACATATATATATATATATATATATATGAGCAGTAAGCTAAAGTCCAATAAATAACATAATGCGTAAAGAGGTTTAGAATCAATGTCCTTACAGTAATGAAAACAGTTCATTAAATCAGTATTTCAGTCGTTCAGTCAGTACAGTCATATGTGGTACATCCAGTAGCATAACAGTACAGTAAACAGTAGGTCTTGAAACACCGAACAGTCAATGATGGCCATCAATCAGTAAATAGTAGTGGTTCCAACAAGGGAACCGACAGAGATCTCTGTAACAGTAACAATCAATAACAGTAGCTACTAAGGATGCCACAATACAGTTCAGAATAGATGACATACATTCATTCGATTAACAGTATCGATTCAGAAACAGTACAGTTCAATTGTTCATAAGATAATCATTTTTGAACATATCTTTACACAGTTGTTACTCATAGAGTTCTGGGCTACAGTTAGGCTAGAGCGCGTCCCCAGTCGCCAACTTTACATAGTTTACAGATTGAACACACACTAAGCTATACAGTTGGGAAAGATAATAATTTAATCCCTATCTTGACTCGGTGTAGTTCTATATCTATACCCTCATTAAGATGCCTTAAACTAGGCCTAAGAATGCCTAGGATGAAATGAGGATGCAAAGATGCACTTTAAAAGCATTTTCAGAAAACAAGGGTCCCGCTCGAGCGTAGGTCAATCCGCTCGAGCGGACATGCAGACAAAGGTTTCCGCCCGAGCGCAGACTCAACCGCTCGAGCGTACTTCAAAACAGTCAAAAGTGCTGGATAGGTGAAATTCACGCTCGATTGGGCGCTTGACACCCGCTCGAGCGTAAAACACAAGGTCCCGCTTGAGCATAAATTTCCCCGCTCGAGCTGACTTAAAAACAGAACAAAATACTGGGAGCACGAATTTCACGCTCGAGCGTGAGTCCAAAATCTGGAATTCCCAAATTTGAACCTCAAGCTCAAATTCAACTTCAAATGTGTCAAATTCAATTCCTTCGGGCCCATTTCCTGGAAAACACTTCAAAACTCATAGTTTAACATGATTCAAAGCTCAATTTGTAAAATCAAGGCCCAAGAGAAGATCAATTCAACTCAAATTCAAACCAATTTTCATGAACTTAACTTCAATGCAACATGCATGAATTTAAACCACTTTCAAGCTTTAAACACTTGCTCTAATGAGCTAATATCTTCAAAGACAAGATGAATTCATGGACTTAACATAGATATGAGCATGCATATGACAATTTTCCATGGAATCAACTCAAAATTCAATAATATAGGCATGCATGCAACAATTGAGCTCTAATTCAACACTATTGAACCAATTCAAGCCTTAGATCACTAAAGACCCATTAATCATGCAAGAATAAACTCAAATACACAATGAAGAAGGTCAATGATCTACCTTAGGTCATGTAGTTCAAGAATGGAAGCACAATTTTGAAACCAACGTTCAAATTCTTTTGGTTCTCAAAGCAATCACAAGAAGGAACTCAATTTCTCTCCCTCTCTCTCTTAGTTGGCAAGAATAAGGAGTTTGGCTGATGAAAAGTTTTGTTTAAATGTATAGTAAGGCTCACATATGTTCAATGTAGTGGGCCACTATGTGGCACCAATGTAATTAAGTCTAATTCATGTAATTTAGCTTTATTTCAACTAATTTAATCATACCAAAACACATTTCAGATAAATATATCATAAAATCATATAAATTCCAAAGATCGCAAAACATCAATCAATTTCTGGTTCGGCCGCCGACAAGGCCTTCAATTTGGCAATTTAAACATAAAACATGAACAGATAATCAAATAGTTAAACAGATAGATAATGCATTTAAACAGATACAGTCAATCAATCAGTTTCAGATTTCAGTCAGTCAATTCAGTATTTCAATCAGTTCAATTACTTTTCATAATCAGTCTCAGTTTAGTAGTAATCGGTAGCTTATCGGTAAACAGTGGTGAGGGTTGTTACAGAAAGTTTGGGCTAAGATGTTGAATTGGTGGCATGTACAAAGTGCTCTACCAGGAGTAGTTGAGAATCTGTTGCCACGATGGGCATGAGAGAAAATCAAAAAGAATGAGAGGTTGATCTGGAGCGTAATACCAGTGGTTGTGATGTGGTCAGCCTAGAAACTCAAGAATGAGGTAGTGTTCAATGCCCTAATCCAAACTAAGAGGAGTTGTGTGAATTGATCAAGATTAGAGTAGCCTTGTAGTTGAAACCTAAGTTCAACGATTTGCACTTCACAATATAGGATATTCTGATTAATTTAAGACAAATAAGAAGATGTATAGGTGACAGAGTGGATTTGTGAGTATGTCTGGTGTGGACTGATGTAGAAGATTGGAGTGTGTTTTTGTTGGGGGCTACTCTATTTCACTTTTCTTTTATTTCCTTTCTTTGTTTTGTTGGTGTGCTAGCAAATGATTGTTTATGCCTTTAGGTGTCAACCTAGTTCGGATCTTATAGGTTTCCTATAATACTTTTTGCACCCTCATCACTTTGTTGATGTATTACCATATGTCATATGCTTATATCATCAATAAAATTTTCTTTTGATGGATAAAAAAAAAAAAGAAGAAAAAAAAAAGACTAGACAGTCATATTTTCTAGTAGAAGTTATTGTTTGTGTTGGAAATCATACATTGGAAACCATGTGGTACACATGGTGCAGGCCACATCGTACACATGGTCCATCCACATATGGCCTAACCATGAGAGACACATAGTCTTGGAAACCATAAGGGACACATGGTCTTGGACATATGGTACACATGATGTGGCCTAACCATAAGGTACACATGGTTTGCCATATATGCATATATAAGGGCTCATGCTCAACATTGTGTAGACACATGAAAAAAAAATAAGTTCTCTCTCTATTCATCTATCTTGAGGCTACCATCTTGAAAGCTTAGGAATTTGGAGCGTGGATAAATATTGAGAAACCGTAGTAGCTTCTCAATTGACGAGGGGCTTTCCAGACGAGGCTCGTAATTTAAACATCCGATCCAAGCTGTTTCCACATCAGGTAATATGATTGCCCGTATGTTTTCCTTCATTGGTATCAGAGCTATATTGCTTGTTTTCACCTCATATGATTTCCATGCCATAGATTAGTTTTATTCTTGTTTAATTCGATGTTATTGAATATCATGGCATGTTGAGAAGAGTTTTTAGAAAACTCTATAAGAGAAGTTTTCTTATCTCAAAAATCAGTATAAAAAATTTCGTTCTATGTAATTGAAATTTACATATTTTGAAAGTACTCTTCGTGAGCTTTCCATCCATATAAAATGGGCTTTAATCGGAGTTATATCGAAAAAGTTATGATTTTTCAAAAACTTTTGGTCCAAATCGTTGTTTTTGTAGGAAATTTTGGAAAGTTATTTTTTCCTATCATATTAATTATTGTGTCTAATTTGGTGACTCCTTTTAGTATTGTAATTTTGTTTGTTATCCCTCTTCAATTACTACTTTGCCTAAAGTAAAGAAAAGCTGATGGAATGTTTTATCTCTGTGTTACTTATGAGACCTTATGTCAATACCTTTTAAGATATGTCAAAAAAAAAGTTTTACTATCTAAGGTGGTTGGACTTGGAAAGGAGGCTATATTGACTTCTCTGATCTTCTTGAGATGTTACTTGGTTATTGACCAAAAAGACTTTGTAGTGTCATTACCTTGATTTCAATCTTTATAGTAGAATTTGGGGCGTCACATGTTATGCATGGTTTCATGTTGTGCATTTAAGAGATGGCTTTGCCTCTTATATAATTTCATTCAAAAATTAATGGGGCACTATATTTTAACTCAAATAGAGGGAGATGATTATGACCTTAGCAGGAATTTCAATTTCTCTATGTAAGTGGAAATATTGTATGCCAATTGTGTTTTTAGGAAAATTTAAAATTAAAAAATGTGTACTAATGTGAAACAGTGTGCAATACCATCAGTGAAATGGTCTCTAAGAATGCTGTTGCTGACCTCACCAAAGGAGAAAAATTAGATTGGTCCAATTATAATATGTAGCAAGGAAAAATTCAATCCTTGCTTAATGAACTAGAAGTCCTAGATACTTTGACCACCTTTATGATCTGTCTTAAGGAAGGAACCACTGCCCAACATTGCCGTGACATGGAAAACTATGAGAAATCGGTCAGGAGAGATCGATGCATTATACTATGCTTAGCAGCATGCACAATGATCTCATTGGGGAGTTTGAGGTGAGCCCCACTACTCATGATATGTGGAATCAACTGAAAATTACCTATGGGACCACATTTGTAACTAGGTTGTGCGCTCTAATTTTTGAAATTTGAGCAATATGCTATGGATCCAAAACACTCAATGGTTGAGCATCTCAGAGCTATGTCAGCCATGATACGTGATCTGAAGGTTGCTGGCAAAATTCTTATCGATGAGCAGCATGTTACAACTATGATACGTTCTTTGCCCGATTCATGGGGGCAAATTGTCACGATCCAAACCCAGCCCTATAGGTTTAGTGTCAGAACCGGCCAGTAATCTTAAGATTATTGACGGCCTCTGAAACATAATCACAAAAAAAGGGGCTAGCAGAAGTAAATACATATATATATATATATAATCGTCCAATGAGCTGTGCTGACTTATATGAAACAGAAATTTTTAAATTTATATACAATGTCCAAAAGTCATTCTTACATTATACCTACAAACATTATAGTCAAAGCAAGAAGGGATTAAACCCCATATACAAAAAGTTCTCTTAAACCTTAACAAAGAAAGCAAAAGTTAAGTCAATCACAATGCTTTCAACACAAGACATATTTGGAACCTCCATGGGAGGCGCAATGGTTGGCTTTACAAAACAGAAGTCCAGACAAAAGTCTTCAAGCCTGATCTCTGGAACGCTTACCTATACATATATATACACATAGTGAGCTAAAACCCAGTGAATAACATTAATGCATGAATTATCTATAATTCATACGTTATATAAATAAGATAATTAAGGGATTATCTTTGGAAGTGTTAGAGCTGTTGTTGAAGTCTACAACTCCACTTAAATCTGCAAAGATGTGCTCTATATAATATATCTGATATAGAGAAAATGTCATGTGAGTGTGGGAGTTTACTCGAGAAATCTTTGCGGAAAATATTTCTTTGTTCTTCCTTCCTAGGTCACCATTGTTGAACCTAGGGATTTGGAGTGTGGGTACAATATTGAGAAACTCAAGTAGTTTCTCAATTAGCAACACGAGGTTCGTAATTCAAGTAATCTGATCCAAATCCTTTTTCTCTTGAGGTAATTTGTGTACCTGTTATTTTCCTTCATTGGTATCAGAGCTTAACTTGCTTGTTTTCGCTTCATGATTTGCATGCCATAGATTAGATTTATTCATGTTAAAGTGAATATTTTCTACTTTAATATTGTTGTATATCATGGCATGTTGAAAAAGATTTAAGAAACCCTATATTTTTGAAAACTCTATAAGAGCAGTTTTTTGATCTTAAAAAACAGTAAAAAAAATTTCGTTTTCTATAAACGAAATTTATATTTTATGGAAGTATTCTTCGTAAGTTTTCAATCCATACAAAATGGGTTTTAATCGGAGTTAAATTGAAAAAATTATTGCTTTTCAAAAAAATTTTGGGTTAAAATCGCTGTTTTTGATAAATTTTGTGAAAATGGGAGATTCTGGAAGCTGACACAGCGTGGTGCGGTGCAACTCAACGTGGCTCGGCTTGGTTCCACATGTGGTGCGAATGGCGGCAGCGCATTGTGTGCAGTTGATGTTAATAGCATGCAAGGCGTGCAGGTGGTGCACGTGACACATGGTGCGCGTGGCGCATGGAGCTCATGCGCCTGCCACACGTAGAACAGGAGCCACATGTGTAGGCGTGTGAACACATATTTCGAGGTGCATGTTATGCAAACGCGACACGTGACATGTTATGCACACGCGACACGTGACAGTTCCTCACTGTCTGTTTTATTTTTCTATATATTTGATTTGACCTACTGTTTTCAGAATTATTTTACTTTTAAATTATCTTTATACATATTTAATTTTGAAAATTGCAAAAAAAATTAAAAAAAAAATTTGAAAAATTATTTTTCTGTTTTATTAAATTGTTTTTTTGAATGATTTTGTTTTATTAATTATCATGCATAATTAATTAACTCTATTTACTTTTTAGTTCCTTTAGCAATTAATTTGCGCTATTTGATTGTGGAGTTAATTTATTAATTGTTTAATATATATTAGTTGAGAACTAATATGTATTTTTTTTTGAAGTCTTAGATCTTTGTGACTATACTCTTTTCCTTAGAAGGAATTGTGGTTTGATCTCCACCCTATGGTCATTTATTTATTCCTTCATTTAATTGATGTTGTTTGTGTAGATGGATGGAGGTAATGTTGGTAATTTTGGTGCAGATGTTTATTTATTTATTATGCATTGTTAAAGGTAGACTCTACAAATGTATTGGTGAAGTGGCATCCTCAAGTTATTTCTTTTTAGAGAAGTGATTGAGACCCTCTCCAATTACCACCCCCCACACACACGTGGCGGGTGGTGATTGAAAAAAAAAAAAATAAAAAAAAATTGACCAATCAGAGAGAGAGGGGGTCAAAGGGGTTGCCTCCTTGAAGGGGTCCAACTCATTTTCCTTCTTTTTATTAGAATCAATGTATTTGGATTCTTTTGGGTTGTTATTATTTTTGGATGTATTTTTCCATAATCATGTAAGGGGATGTGTTTCACTATCACCAATACATTTTAAGATTACCTTAACATGTTGAACCATATTACCAACAAGGCTTCAAGTGGAGCCTATGCGCAAAATTGTGTGGCGTATTTTTGGTCTCATATATAGTGTGCATGATTTAATACTGTGGAATTAAGAGATTTTTGTGCCTCTTAAACAATTTTATTTCAAAAATTAATTGGGTATCATATTTTAGCTCACAAAAGAAGATGATTATTAGCTTAGTGAAATTTTCGATTTCTCTATGTAAGTGAAAATATTGTATGCCAATTGTGTTTTTGGAATAAAATTTCAAAGTGTGCCAATTGTCAAACGCTATGCAATAAGTGTGGTGAAATGACCTCTAAGAATGTCGTTGCTGACCTCATCAAAGGAGAAAAATTGGACGTGTCCAATTATGACTTGTGGTACAGAAAAATTCAATATTTACTTAATGAACAAGGAGTCTTAAATATTTTGACCACCCTTATGATCTGTCTTGAGGAAGGGACCACTACCCAACATTGCTATGACCTGGAAACCTATGAGAAATAGGTCAAGAGAGATTGGTGTGCGCTATACTATGCATAGTAGCATGCACAATGATTTCATTGGAGAGTTTGAGACAAGCCTCACTGCTCATGACATGTGAAATCAATTGAAAATTACCTATGGGATCACATCTGTAACTAGGTTGCATGCTCTTATTTTGAAATTTGAGCAATATGCTATGGATCCAAAACACTCAATGGTTGAGCATCTTAGAGTTATGTCAGCCATGATACGTGATTTGAGGGCTACTAGTAATGTTCTTACTGATGAGCCGCAAATTACAGCTGTGACACGTTCTCTGCCTGATTCATGTGAGCAAATGAAACTTGTGCTTACACATATGAGAACATCAAGACTTTTGCTGATATCTCGCGCCACCTTGAGCTTGAAGTGGAGTACCTAAGGACGCACCGCTACACTATCCTTGTCGCCCAAGCTGGGTTGCATCAGGCATTTAGGCCTAAGCGCAACAAACAAGGAAAACGTAGTGGTGCAGCTTGTAACCTTGGTCCTAAGAAAGGCAATGTGATGAAGCGTCGCGGAGGCAAGCGAGGTGGAAACAAAGACAAGATCAAAGTCAAGTGCTATAATTGTGAAAAGTTAGGTCACTTTGCTCGGAAATGCCCTGAGGCAAAGAAGGTAGACTTTTTATTTAACTCTTTAAGTACTTGTGTTCATTAACATGCATGTGTTTCTAATTCTCTCCATGGTTGGATTGTAGACTCAGGAACAACCCACCACATAGCCAATGAAAGAGTTGGGTTCGTGGATTATAGAAAGATACCTATGGGCTAGTACCTTGGGTAATGGAACTCGAGAAGATATTCTTGGAGTTGGTTCTTATCAGCTCAAGACACGTCCGGGGCACGCTTTACTCCTGCATGACATGCTTTATGCACTTGGTGTCCAATGTAATTTTTTATCAGTTATTTTTTTTGTTAGGATTTGGTTTTTGTTTTCATTTTGATGGTAGTCAGTTGGATTTCTATTTAAATAAAGTCTTGTATAGACAAGGTTTTCTTTCCAATGGTTTCTTTATGCTAGATTTGGATTTTCCCTCATATTGTTACATGTCTTATGATAACGATTCATTAAATTTTATTAATTGGCATGTTAGACTTGGTTACAAAGAAAAAAAATAGAATGACTAGACTAGCTAAAGAAGGCTTGTTAGGGCATCTTGCAAATGTAAGTTAGCCTGTGTGTGAACCTTGTTTGGCAGGAAAGGCATATAGGAAGCCTTTTGGAAAGGCACCTAGGGCTTTATATCCTCTAGAATTAGTTCACTCTGACATTTGCAGACCCATGAATGTAAAGGCACTCCATGACGCTTCTTATTTCCTTATATTTATTGATGATTACTTATGATTCAATTATGTCTATTTGATCTCACATCGCTTTGAGGCATTGGATTGTTTCAAGCGCTTTTGTTGCACAAGTTGAGAATCAAACAGATAGGAAATTGAAAATCCTTCGAACAGATCGAGGGCATGAGTATTTATCACATCAGTTTTAGGGACTGTGTGAGGAAAATGGGATACGCAGGTAATATTCCAGGGACTCTACAACAAAATGGTGTAGCAGAGAGATAAAATCGCACTTTACTTGAAATGGTTAGATCAATGATGGCGCAAAGCAACCTCCCTATATCTTTTTAGGGGGATGTTGTTTTGACTGCTGCCTATATCCTTAATAGTGTGCTTTCAAAGTCAGTTCCAACAACTCCATATGAATTATGGAAATGCGCAAAACTTGATTTGGAGCATTTGTGGCCTTGGGGTTGTGTGGGTTTTGTTCACAGTACTTATAAGCATGAAAAATTAGGCCCTAGAGAAAATAAATAAATGTTTGTTAGACACTCACAATGCTCAAAGGGTTATGTAATATATGGTGAACATCTTAATGGTGGAATGACTGAAATTGAGTCGTGAGATGTCAATTTCATTGAGAGTGAATTTCCTAGTATTGGTGAAGTAAAGAAAGATCTTGCACTATTTGAGTTGCAGGAGTCTGAGGAAATCATATCATCTTTTGGTGAAGGTAGAAAATTAGAAACTTATCCTGAAATCGCCAAAGATAGTGGGATTGATTTACCTTCTAGTGGGACTGTTCCACTAGAAAATGACTCACTAGGATCCCAGTTACGTAGAAGTGAACGTGGAACCATTCCTCGTCATCGTTATGAGATTGAAGAGAATCTTTCAATGTACTCTGTTAGATCTTGATGAGCCTGTTTCCTATGAGGAATCACTAGTTTCACCTAATTCTAATGAATGGATAGCTGCTATGAAGGATGAAATGAGTTCTATGGCTTATAATCTAGTTTGGGAGTTGGTTGACCTTCTATCTGGGTGCAAGACCATTGATGACAAATGGGTCTTAAAAATTAAGCGCAAGGCTGATTGATCAATCGATAAGTACAAAGCCTATTTCATGGCGAAGGGTTATACCCAAAGGGAGGGTATAGATTATTCTCTCCGGTGGTGAGATTTTCCTCTATTCGCCTAATTCTATCTATTGTCGCACATTTGGATTTGGAACTTTTCCAAATGGATATTAAGACTGCATTTGTCAATGGAGAACTAGATGAGGAGATCTATATGGATCAACCAATTGGCTTTGAGGTCAATGGACAATAGCACAAAGTATGCCACCTCAAACGTTCCATTCATGGCTTAAAGCAATCGTCTAGATAATGGTACTTTAGATTCTATAAAGCCATCATTTTGACTGGGTTTGAGATAATGGAGGAAGACCATTGTGTGTATGTCAAGCAATTAGGAAAGAGTTTTCTTATTCTATCTCTGTATGTTGACGACATTTTGATAGTTGGAAATGACATAGAGACGATTGTCGCCACTCAAGAATGGTTGTCCTATACTTTTTAAATGAAGGACATGGGAGAGGAAAATTATGTTTTCGGAGTTAAGATCTTGAGAGATCGCTTTAAGAGGCTTCTTGGTTTGTCTCAAGAGACTGACATTAAAAGGATCTTGGAACGGTTTCGTATGCACTATTCCAAACTATTGACACTCTAATTCAGAAGGGACGTAATCTGAGCATTGACTCTTGCCCTAAGACAAATGAGGAAAAGAAACAAATGGCAAAAGTTACCTGTGCGAGTGCAGTTCATAGTCTGATGTATGCTATGATGTGTACTTGACGAGACATATGTTTTACAGTGGGATTGGTCAGTCGTTACTAGAGTGACCCAACACTTGTTCACTGACAAGCAGTGAAGAGGATTTTTTCCTATTTTCGTGGGACGATGGATCTCATTTTTTGCTATCAGGGAGGAGATTAGAGACTAAAGTGATACAGTAATGCAGACTGCGCTGCTAATAAAGATGAGCGCAAGTCTACCACTGGTTATTCGTTTCTACTTAGTGGAACGATTATTTCTTGATGTAGTAAGAAGTAATCATGCATTGTTTTGCCTATGATAGAGCCAGAGCACGTTACCTGTTCAGCAATAGTACAAGAGGCTGTTTGGTTAAGAAGATTCCTTTAGCGCTTTAGGATCACGACTCTTGCAAATGAAGCCGTTATGATCTATGTTGACAGTATCATAACTTTGGCATATTCTAAGGATCCCAAGTATCATGGTAAAACCAAACACATCAACATTCGATTTCACTTTATTCGAGATGTGGTCGCATGAGAGGAGGTAGTCCTACAACATATCTCTACTAGCAAAATGGTGGCTGATCCACTTATTAAAGTCACTACTAGAGACGTCTACCGAACTCATGTTAGGAGTTTAGAACTTCGTAGGATTTGATGTTTTTGTGGATAACTCATTGACTGTGTTGGATATTTTTTGAGTATCTTATGCATAATTATTTATTCATATGATTTTATGGCGTAATTGATACTATTAGCACGCATTGTATATGATGTCACCAGGCTTAGATCGGCCTTTTCACAGTGGCGATCACCCCAGCACATGTAGAGTGAGTGGGATGAGACATTAATTATCTTGGCGCTTAGAGAGCGAGCGAGATAAATGTTTTGTAACTTGACAAGTGAACAAAACTAATTTGTTATTATAAGACGTCGCCTTAGCATGGGCTAAGATGTGATTTTAAAAAATTTAAAGTTATCTACAGCTTTATGAAGCTTGAATATAGCCGAATGTGAGATCTTAGATAAGCGCTTGATGAGAAAATATGCTAAGAAACTCAGGTTAGGCGCTTGTATAGCGACTAAACTAAGATTCATATGGCATTAGAGAGTGGCAGACCCAATTTAGTTGGAGCTCCGCCGTAACATACATATCATACTGTATGTGCTACCATCAACACTTAACGGAGTGGTTAGATGGATCCCTGCCCTAGTACTATGTGAGCCCCATTAGGCCAATAATAGGCATACTCTATACCCTTGAACTTGGAACTAGGTCATGAAGTGATGACTTGATATCGTTACTTTAGCATGTCATCCAAGGGTCATGATGAATACGATCTAAAGGACTATGTCTAGAAAAGCGGTCAAGTTTGAGTGAATTGACATGAGTAGCTATGGAAGATTGTTGGAAATCATACTCTTGTATTGTAGCTCATTGCTTAGGCGATTATGTCGGATTCCGATATAATCATGAGTATAGATACAGTATTGAAATCAAGCATGTTCATGAGCTATGACTCGCGCGGGGCTTTAAAATGTTTGATCTGGTGTGGTTTAATGAATCTGGGGTGTAGACAAAATATTTCGAGTGATGTGCTATGCTAGTTTATAGCGACTTAATATAACACTTCTACCTTATACTTTCTTGTCAGGTCGCACGTTCTATTTTTCTGCATGAGGGGTGGATTGAATAAGAGATTGAGAAATGGTGATTGAGCATATAACACATGATTTGGATGTGTAGATAAGTGGGAGATGTTGGAAATCATATGTTGGTATACGATGTGATACATATGGTGAAGGTCACATGGTACACACGGTTCATCTACACATAGCCTAACCATAAGGGACATATGGTCTTGGACATGTGGTACACATGGTGTGGCATAACTATAAGATATACATGGTTTGCCATATATGTTTATATAAGGGCTCATACTCAACATTATGTAGACACACCAAAAAAAAAAAAAAAAAAAAAAATTATCTCTATTCATTTATCTTGAGCCTACCATCTTGAAAGTCTAGGAATTTAGAGTGTGAATGACTATTGAGAAACTCTAATAACTTCTCAATTGATAAGAGATTTTTTAAACGAGACTCATAATTTAAGCAACCGATCCAAACGGTTTAATTTGATTATCCATATATTTTTCTTCAGTCTGTTAAAATAAAATTTTGATTAAAATATCCATTCAAATCACGTGATAGAGGAATTGTAAGTTCCGTGACGTTGCCAACTTTATTGAGCCGCCACTCTCCTCCCCACCTATCTTGGACTAGACTAGACATTTGTATTTATCTAATAATTAGTCTCCAAGGATATATTTATTGAAGGCATAATGTTTTATGGCACAAAATGCTATGCTTTATAAATATTTAATTACTTTTTGTGTTGAATAACTAAACAATAATGTTTTATGGCACAAAATGCTATGCTTTATAAATATTTAATTACTTTTTGTGTTGAATAACTAAACAATAATGTTTTATGGCACAAAATGCTATGCTTTATAAATATTTAATTACTTTTTGTGTTGAATAACTAAACAATAATGTTTTATGGCACAAAATGCTATGCTTTATAAATATTTAATTACTTTTTGTGTTGAATAACTAAACAATAATGTTTTATGGCACAAAATGCTATGCTTTATAAATATTTAATTACTTTTTGTGTTGAATAACTAAACAATAATGTTTTATGGCACAAAATGCTATGCTTTATAAATATTTAATTACTTTTTGTGTTGAATAACTAAACAATAATGTTTTATGGCACAAAATGCTATGCTTTATAAATATTTAATTACTTTTTGTGTTGAATAACTAAACAATAATGTTTTATGGCACAAAATGCTATGCTTTATAAATATTTAATTACTTTTTGTGTTGAATAACTAAACAATAATGTTTTATGGCACAAAATGCTATG